CCCATAGACATCCGCAATTGCAGATGCGTTGCCTACCCTTATACGACGGAGGCACTTCCTCTTCCCAACCTCTCCTTATAAGAAAAGGGTGGTAAAGAGAAAGGGACTTAAATTAGGCCTCCGGCACCACACTCATCAGACTAAACACGGAATTGCTTCCATTTCACACCTATCTTCTGTGTGGTCGTGGTATTACTGGGGGCGTGCCGGCCCTGCAGTGCTAAGATGTTAAAGCGGGCACTACCACTGTTAATTTAAATTGATGATTAAATAAATAATCAATTAATGACATAAATAAAATTACACTTTAATACATTTTAACACCGATTAAGTAGAGTTGGGGACTTTTATTTCCCGCCCATAAAACCATTACAATGAAATATTACTTATCGCTCACATGTGGACATATGCGACGAAATGATGGGGACATAAACCATAAAACATATAGCTGAGCAAAGGCCCTATCAGTTCTGCATTGCAACGCATTGTCAAATTGTTTATATATTTTGTTTTTTTTTTCCTCTTCAATTTTCTTGTCATTAGTTTTGATTGTTAATGATTGGTTTTCGTTGTTCTCGTTTGTATTTTTTTTTGTTCAAGTGTATTATGTTGTATTGTGTTGCAGTATGTTTTGGAACTGATTAAATGTGTATTATTATTATTATTATTATTATTCTTATAGAAAGTGTTGAGATTGAATGTGGATGGCTACAAAGGAAGAGGAAGACCGAAGAAAGTATGGATGGATTGTGTGAAGGAAGATATGCTTAAGAAAGGAGTGGATTCAGATATGACGGCTGATAGAGATGTATGGAAGAGCAGCACATACTGTGCCGACCCTCCATAAGGGATAAGGGCAAGTGGATGATGATCACTTGTAGCTCACATAGTGTGGTCGAGACTTGTAGCAACACCAAATTAAGCCAAGTTTTTCTTAAGCCTGCTATACACGTTTCGTTTTAACTAAACAGTTCACTACAGTATAAACTAAACATACCTAACAGTGGTAGAGTCCGCTATAACATTCTCGCACGAATGGGCCGGCTCGCCCGGTGAAATACCACGACCACACACACAGGCGTGAAGTGGAGGCAATTCTGCGTTTCGACTGATCAGTGTGGTGCCAGAGGCCTAATTTTAGTCTCTTTCCATTCTTTTCTTGAGATTAAAGGATGGGAAGGAAAAGTGGATTTGACGGTGGAGGAGACGCATAGGAAGGGGAATGTCCCCTTTTATGTGCGTCTCCTCCTCCGTTAATGAAGGGTAGGCAACGCATCTGCATTTGCGGATGTTTATGGACAGCGGTCGCTCTCCATTTCGATGGATTCAGGTGGCCGCTTGCTCGTTTGCCACCTTATATTATAAAAAAATAGCTGGCTTTATAATTACGATTTGTTTTGCAATAGGTTATATGTGGAAATTTAAATTCTTTGAGCACTATAGGCAACTTTTCAACAATATTATTTAAGCAATCTGTTATCTAAACAATTTAATTCAAAGTGTGCGTTGAAGTATTTATTCATGCAGGTAAACGAGGAAGTTTTTTTGAAATAGATTTTACTAGCATAAACAGTTTTAATAAATCACACGCTATAATTAGAAGAAAATAAAATAAAACGTATTCAACTAGTAATAAAGAACAAAGTAATAACAAAAATAACGGTTAACAAAGCTTTAAATTACAATAAAAAAGAAAATATTGACGCTTTAAATAACCTATAATTCCCGGTAATGGGTGACGTTTGTTTTTTTTATAAGTGGCCAGTACCATTCCCACAGATTATTTAACTAGCAATTAGTAAGATCATAGACTAACAATTGATTTATTTGTTTTCACATTTAAATTAAGAATGAATTTCTCTGAACACATTATGTATAGATTTACCAGCGACTCTGTCACCGTGGAATTTAAAAAAAAAGTGAATTACGTGTTCTTTCAGATTATGCTTTACAACTATACTAAATTTCAATCATCAAAAGCATCCATCTTAATTTTCGCATTTATAATATTACTAGATTTTGCCCGCGACTCCATCCACGTGGTATTCAAAAATTAAAATGAGTAGCTTATGTATTCTTCCAGAATACCCTCTGCATTTATACCACATTCGAAATCGAAATCCATTGAGCATTAGGCTACAAACTCTAACATCCATCTATCTAAACTTTCGCATTTATAATATTAACTAGTATGATTCAGGTAGTAAGAAGTAAGATAGTCTGAACTTATTTGACCCGGTGGGAATAAGTAAAACTAAATAACAATTAACAATAGCTCATTACCGCATCTAGGTCAATCAAAAAAGTGTCACAAGATCCTCGCCGTACTATACCTGTCTTGGTTGTCATTCTATAACTATACGTTTTACACATCTTACTAATATTATAAATGCGATAGTTTTTTTTTATAACATAAATGGAAAGCAACCGCTGCCCATAAACATCCGCAATTACAGATGCCTTGCCTAATTGACGGAGGAGGACACGCACATAGAGAGGACATTTCCCCTATGCGTTCCATCCACCGTCAAATTCACTTTCCCTTCCCATCCTTTCCTCTTTAGAAAAGGGTGGAAAGGGAAAAGGAATAAAATTAGGCAACACTCATCAGACGAAACGTGGTATTGCTTCTACTTCACGCCTGTTGTCTGTGTGGTCGTGGTATTATTGGGGGCGAGCCGGCCCATTCGAAGATGTTAAAGCGGGCTCTACCACTGACATTTACATGGATGGATGTTTGAGTTTGTAGCTTAAACTACTGAATCTCTCTCGATTAAATTTGGAACAGATTTTGAGGATAGTCTGTAAGAACACATAGGCTATTTACTTTTGTATTTTTTAGATTCACGCGGACGGAGTCGCGGGTGAAAGCTAGTTTTACATACAAAAAAAAATACTATTAACTGTCCATCCTGACTTCATCCGTATGAGATTATAAAAACTTTATTTTATTGTTTACATTTGTCAAATTCTCAATTGCAAATGTCAAAATTACCGTTACCATAATAACCATTTTTTTCCAAATTATTTACCCCATAAGTTTAATATAGCCTAAAGCGTGTCGTAAGTGTAGGGCTTTTTATTAAAGAATCATTTAAAAATATGCTGTGATTGTCACATCCTAGACCTCAAAGTAGTGTGTGTTTACGATTTATAAGTATCGATCGTAAGCGCGTTCACCGGGCCACACAAGTTTGTAGGACTAATATCGTTTTATAGTATTACAAGGACCTTGACTTTGTCATCAACACTCGACAAGAACTCGAGTTATCCTGTTAATTATTTGTGCTTAAAAAACCCAACGGGAAAAATTATTCTAGCCATACCGATATTACAAATGCAAATGTTTACACAGATGTATGTTTGTCAGAGTTTGTAGCCTAAACTGCTGAACAGATCTTGATGAAATTTGGTATAGATGTAGAGGATAATCTGGAAGAACACATAGCTCAATTTTTTTAATTTCACGCGTAGAGAGTCGCGGGCGAAAGCCAGTAATTCATAAAATAGGATAATAGCAGAAAATAGGTTAAAACAATATTTTATACTAACTTTCGCCCGCGATTCCGCGTGAATTAAAAGAAAAAGAAAAGTGAATAGCCTATGTGTTCCTCCAGACTATCTTCTATGCCAAATTTCGAAATCCGTTCAGCTGTTGCTACAAACTCTCACAAACATCCATCCCTCTAAACTTTCACATTTATACTAGTATGAAGTATGTTAATTACGAGAGTGATCGTATGGTGGTCGTAACATATATTGTAAACGAGGCCTGGGTTAGAGAGGGTAATCGGGCATTTCATTCTCCAGCACTAGTGGGTACATTGAAATCCTTAGGGCGCGTGGTCTGCGGAAAGGTGTGCGGGAGAAATAGTCGTGTGCAAGGTCAGTCGGTTACCAAATTGTGTATTCGAAGGTCGTAAGTGGTTGTCCGACATCAAGAAAGAAACAACGGGAGTCAGTGTCATTTCGAACAAAGTCGATTGTAAAGTCGGTTTCGCGTTTGGTACAATATCAGTGCATCTGCAGATTATAGCGTCTATAGACTTGACAGAACTAGACTTGATTCGATTGACACCGAAAACCTGGCACCTGCAGTTGAGGTGGGCATCGAACTGATGTACATAGCAGTACATCCATTTCCTTTGTTTACAATATTATGCCCTCCGATGCATGCGTAGCCCAGCTCTCCCAAGAGCAGTGGTTGGCAAACGGCAAATTGCGGTTCCAGAGCCGCCTGTGGTTCTGTCATTGGCTGGCAATTCCTATGACAGGCTAATGACCACACAGAAGACAGGCGTGAAGTGGGAGCAATTCCGTGTTTCGTTAGATGAGTACGGTGTCGTAGGCATAATTTTGGCCCCTTTACCTCTCCACCTTTATCTAAATAGGAAAGGATGGGAAGGGAAAGTGGATCTGACCGTGGAGACGGGTAGGAAGGGAAAATATACTATTTATGTGCATCTCCTTCTCCGTCGATTAAAAGTAGGGAACGCATCTGCAAATACAGATGTCCATGGGCAGCGGTCGCTCCGCCATTTTGGCGGTGTCAGGCCGCTTGGTCCTTTGCCACCTCGTATTATTAAAAAAAAATCAAAAATCTGTCAGTTCCGTTCATATACAGACTTCGGCAATAAAATTGATTACGAAAAAACATTACCCTACACTTAGTAGGGCAAATATGCGAAATAATTCTGTGATCGTTTAGTAAATTCTGATTTTCGTTATTTTATAATCTGATGTAACTTAAAATAATCGAAATGAAATAATTTGATTAAGTTAGAAAAAATTAAATTACATTGAATTATAACTACTTTGTATATAAAGTGAATTATAAAAAAATATAGTTTAATATCAGGGAAAATGTTTTTTGCTTTAAAATAAAAATAAAATCTTAAAAATCAATTTTCATGAAAAAAAATATGTATAAATAATTTTATTTCTATAGATTTCTTTAGAAATAAATAAATCTAGTAATAAATTAATTAAAAAAAAATTACTAAATTAAAATTTTATAAGTCACTACTTTACCTGTCCACAGTCCAATTTGAATTTATTTTGGTACAAAATATCTTTACACATACAAATCACAGAATACGTGAATTACAGTCACAAAACGAAATATTTCACCGAACAACTACACATTATATAAACTGAAGTTATTTTCACTTTTTAATTATAAAAAAACACTCAATTTAATTTATAAACTGGTCAAACTAGTACGAAAGTTTTTTGGCGGGAGCATAAAGTGACGAATCACATAACACATCCATCCGAGTTGGGCTTTTGCCCGATACTGAAGTTTTACTTGCAATGAAATGACCGGTGAGCTGGTGCCAATTACAAAATGCGGTTACAATACACCTTATTCTCTAGCTTTATGGTTGATTATCGCTTAACTAGAAGTATATAGCGTTGTCGATGGTATACGTAACGACAAATTAAAATATGCACATATTTGCTGCTTATTCACTTGTGATAAGGTTAATTTTAGCGTGTGTTTTGTATTATTTAAATTTGTTTCCAAAGATCAGACCACGCGTTGCATAGGTTAATAATTCCAGCACAGATATCCCGCACCAGGTATTTTGGTTTTTAAAAAAAATCTCACAAAAGTAGACGCAATTTTTCTTGTACTTTCGTTTATAATTTTAGTTGAAATACATTTTTAACGACTAGCTGTTCTCGTGCGGCTTCGTCCGCATGACATTATAAAAACTTTATTTTATTATTTAAATTTGTGAAATTACCAATTGCAAATACAAAAATAACAAAGGCCTTTGACATTGGATAACAATTATTACAAGCAATCTTGCTTCTTTGCTGCTATTGTAGTTTTTGTCCCTTCAATCCATTTGCCCCTAAGTTTAATAGCGTGAATATATAGCTTAAAGCGTGTCGTAAGTGAAGGGTTTTTTTTAAAAAGAAATTATTCAAAAATATACTGTGATTGCTGACATCTTACATAAGTATGTAGCGTGTGTTTTTACGTTTTATTATATTAGTACTAGCTGTCAAATTGTCAATTGCAAATGTCAAAATGACATGACATGACAAAACTTGGCAATCTTGCTTCGTTAATGTTGGCAGCAAATTATGGTCTCTTTCCACCATTAGGGTTTTTATCCAAAATATTTACCCCCTAAGTTTAATGGCGTGAAAATATATAGCCTAAAGCGTGACGTAAGTGTAGGGCTTTTATAAAAAAAAAGAATTATTCAAATACATGCTGTAATTGCTGACATCTTAGGCAACAAAGAAGTGTGTGTTTACGCTTTATTATAATAGTATAGAAGTATAGATAGATGGTAACAGTTTTGTGTTCCTAAGAAAGTGGGAAGCGAATTTAGTTCTTTAACTACATGAAGGTTTCGTGCAATCTGCATTCTCATATTACATTTACCAATAAAGAGAATACAAGAAAGCATAAAAAAAATAATAAAAATTCGCAGTATCGAGACCATACAATCCATAAATTGGATGTAGGGTATAATCTAGAAGAACACATACTACTGGCATTTGTTATTTTTTAATTCCGCGCGGACGGAGTCGCGGGCGAAGGCTAGTCTAAAATAAGTATGCTGCTTGCGTGACGTTATTTTATCTTACTAATATTATAAATGCGAAAGTTTAGATGGATGGATGTTTGTTAGCGTTTGTAGCCTAAACGGCTGCACGGATCTCCATGAAATTTGGCACAGGTTTAGAGCATAGTCTGGAAGAACACATAGGGTACTTTTTATCCCGGGAATAGTTACGGTTCCCGTGGGATTAATTAATTTAGTTTTTTAATGATTATTCGATCATTCTGCAACGGTTCAACATATCCTTTTGAAATTTGGCACAGATATAAAACAAAGTCTGGAGTACACATGGGATGAGGTTCATCCCCGAGAAATGTCCGGTTCCCGAGGGATACGTAGCTTTTTGTCATTTAAATAGTTCGTATGTTTTTCAATACCACGCGGACGGAGTCGCGGTCGAAAGCTAGTAAACAAGAGTTTTATTTCATCATAATGGCTTGTCTGTTAAGGTGAGTTTTATTCTACGACTCCTTTCGCGTGGAACTAGGAACTATGTGTTCCAGAATATCGTCCACATCTATGACATCGAGATTCCAGCAGCAGTTTAGATAACAAACTAACAAACATCCATCTAAACTTTCGCATTTAGAAGTAAGGTTTAACAGTGGTAGTGCCTGCTTTAATATCTTAGCACTGCAGGCACGCCCGGTGTAATACCACGATCACACAGAAGACAGGCTTGAAATGGAAGCAATTCCGTGTTTCGTCTGATAAGTGTGGTGCCGGAGGCCTAATTTAAGTCCCTTTCTCTTTACCACCCTTTTCTTATAAGGAGAGGATGGGAAGGGGAAGTGGATTTGACGGCGGAGGAGATGCATAGGAAGGGGAAATATCCTATTTATGTGCGTCTCCTCCGTCGTATATAGGCAACGCATCTGCAATTGCGAATGTCTATGGGCAGCGGATCGCCATTTTGGTGGATTCAGGTGGCCGCTTGCTTGTTCGCCACCTTATGTTATAAAAAAAAGGTGTAAAGATTTACACATAGCTATGGTAATTGTACTGATGTTTTCCGCTTTCTCTATTTGTTATTAAGATCTATAGATAATCCCTGATAACTTTTTAATTATTATAATATTTCACTCGTATAGATAACGGTTTCTGATAAAACGTATAGTGCGATACAGTTACCTGTTTGACCCGGTGTGCTGCGTCAAATGACAGCTCACTAGCGCCACTGTCAATATCAATTTTTACAAGATCCTTGTTGTAGAGTGACTGTCATATAATGTGTTTTATTTTAGAACTAGATTTCGCCCGCGACTCCGTTAGCGCGGAATAAAAAAACAAAATTGAATAGCCTATGTATTCTTCCCGACTTTCCTCTACATCTATACCAAATTTCATCGAAATTCGTTCAGCCGTTTAGGCTACAAACTCTAACAAACATCCATCTAAACTTTAACTTAGTTCACGTGAAATTTAAAACTATAGGCTATGTTACTCAGCGATAACATAGCTTTTCTAAACATTTAAAATAGGCCCAGTAGTTTTTGAATTTCAATATATAAAAAAATACAAATCTTCCCTCTTTATAATTTTAGTATTGATGGTTCTGATAATACCAACCAATGCACGAACAGCGTTTTTCGCAGTTGGCAATTTTGTGAACTGTCATATTTATACCAACGAGGAATGTCGATATAATTTCGAAAAAAAAGTAGCTTATAATTTGCTTTTGTGATAAGGAAGAATTTCCAAACTCGATTATTTCGAGTTTCTTTCGAAATTATTTTTTTGCTTATTATAATCATACTAATTATAAAATGCAATGAAATTAGGCATAGATGTAGAACATAGACTAGAAGAACACATAGACTAATCGCTTTTATTTTTTTTTAATTATACGCGGATGAAGTGTGGGCAAAAGCTAGTAAGTATATAAAACTAGTACCCATTCTGTCAATGTCAAAAAACTGTCATAAGATCCTTATATGTCTATAACAGAGCCTCTCCGGGCCAGATAACCGTGTCGCACTGTGTCAATTAATTTTAGTGCGGTGCTCTCACGAAAACAGTATATCGATTGTTTCCGCTAGTGATGTTATAGGTTATCGATAAAGCAATTTATTTTATTAGATAATTATGTATCGAACCGTATTTATGATAGTATATTTGTTTTATTTTATCGCTTAATTACTAAGTTCTACTTTGGAAAACAATATGTTATTCGCGATTACAATGGATATTCAAACTGCATATTTTTAGACAATAATCGTAACAACGTACGCGCGTATTTAGTTCTTATTGTAATGTTACTGGCACGCAAACGAAAACTGTATATTTGTGTTTTTAAAAATAGAATAAAAAGAAAAACGTTACTGGCCATCGATAATAAATATTCTTCGCGCTTTCCGCAATGTTGTTATAACCGTGTTCTAAGAATGCAGTTTGAAATTTTGAATTTAGAATTTTATAAATAGCAGCTTTAAGAGTAAGTAAACATCAAACGAATAAGATAGATTGCTATATTTTTTTATTAATATTATAATTGCGAAAGTTTAAATGTATGGATGGATGTTTTTACTACGTATCTCCAGAACAACTTAAAGCCTAAACACAAAAAACATGCTTTAAGAAGTTCTAACTACTAATCTAAACTAATACTAGCTTTCGCTAGCGACTGCGTTCGCGTGGAATTAAAAAAAAGTTAGTAGCCTATATGTTCTTTCAGTCTGTCATCTACATGTGTGTCAAATTTTATCGGGATCTGTTCGCAGGTTAGGCTAGAAACTCTAATATAATAAACATCAAGCAGAAGTAACATTTGTATTATGTGTTTTTTATGTATTGTATAACTAAACTGCAGGGCCGTTATCAAAAATTCTTTCACCGTTAAAAAACTACGTCATCACTGGGTAACATAATTTTTAATTATTATTTTTATTTCTCGCGGACGAAATCACAAGCAACAGCCAGTATTCAAATATTTTATTGCGAACGACCACAGACTTTAACAGTAATAACTGGCCATAAATCGGTTGTAAATTAAATTAAGAAAAAAGAAATAAATTTGTATCTGTCATTTATGAAAGAGGTTGTTCAAGCGATGAGATACAATATCGGTATACTCAATGAAGTTGCACTCGACTGACTTCGTTTTTTTTGCTTTCAATTCGATCGGCGTCTTTTAACTCGAGTTCTTTTACGATTTCTAGGGTTCCTTCAGCTAATAACCAGAGAACTCGATTGTGATCTTATAATTAAAAATGCGAATGTTTAGATGGATAGAGAGTTTGTAGCCTAAACTGATGAACGGATGTAGAGATCTGGAAGAAAACATAAGCTTTAGTTTTTTTTATTTATTTGTAAGCAGCTTAAATTTCTTACAAAAATATATAATTTCGCCAAACTGCCAAAGCAGTTTATAGGCGAAAAATTGCACCATAAACTAAATACTTTTATTTACTACTAGCTGTTCCCGTGAGGCTGCAAGCGCATGAAAGTTTTATTTTTGACCGACTTCGCAAAAGAAGGAGGTACTCAATTCGTCGATATATTTTTTTGTGTGTTACGGAATAACTCCGCCGCTAGTGGACCGATTTTGATAATTTTTTTTTTTATCCGCAAGGTAATGCTTGCAGGTGGGTCCCATTCTTTTTTGTTTGATTTTTGGAGTCTAAGATTACGACGTAGTTAAATAGTTTAGCTCAAAATCGCGCGACGAAATAAAAATGATGTATGGAAGAATTGT